AGCGACTGTAAGTATGTTTTGTTATTAGTTTAAGTATTTGCTATTGACTGTTCAAATGCAGAGTTTTGCGCAGCGCAGAGTAAAGGCCCTTTCACACGGGACGCGGCAAGCGGTGGAATCGCCGCGCGGCTGCCGCTTTCTCTTGTAGTGGAAGCGTTTTGTGCAGTGAGGCGGTGGTCGCGTTGCGGTCTCAGAGCGGACGTTGCCATAGTTACAATTGTCAACATCACCTTTGCATTTACTAAAAACTAAATAAAACATAACGGAAATTTGTGTTTGTGTCATTCTGTCATTAATTGTCATTATTTACCTTTTTCTTCGTTTGGCACAAGTGAAGTTGTTTTTGATGATTTGTCTAAAGAGCATTATTACTTGTGAGGTCATGATTGAAGTAAAAATTTGAATGAAATATAATTTTAAAGGAAAATTGAGAAGATTAATTGAGCCTAAACAATGCATCCCAGGCGCAGGGCTTTGCTGGAAATGCAAAAAAATCTTATTGATGTGGTCATGGTTGTTAGTAATCTGTTCACTGATTGGTTGAAACCGACCTCACAAAAAGTTAAAATATTTGTTGTATTTGGCGGGGTCTACCGCGAAGCGCCGTGCCCATGGAAGCGGCAGGATCCACGCCGCCAGCGAAACCGCCCGCCCGTCCGCCCGCCCGCGTTTTGCCGCTTTCCGCATGTCTCCCTTTGAGAATGAACTAGACACTCGCGACTGCCGCGTACCGTGTGAAAGGGCCATAGGCGTAGCTTGACGTTTGAGTTTGGGGGGGCCAAACCGAACCGGTGGATTTGGTCAGACGCACTTTTAAACACATTTTAGTTTTGCTATAGTAAATCTACATATTCACATAGAGCAGTGGCAAGTGCGTGAGGTTGTCATGGTAACCACATACATTGCCCACGAATTACAGCTGCGCTTCTATTTTGCCACACTAAACTTAGCAATAAACAAGTTTAAAATGCACAATAAACATGTCTGTCAAAACGATCTCAAAGGAGGCTTTTATTAAGCAAATCAAGGAGTGAATTATTCATCCACTGTTTTTAAAACAGACATTTGTTGGGCTTGATTCAAGTTAATGCACAATGAGGCGCACACTTTTAATTTAGTCTTATTGAATTGACGATAAACAGTTTATATTCTAAAATCTATTTAAAGGTTGTGTTCTGTGAAAATTAAATAACATTTGGATGTAAATGGTCGGCATAAAAGTAGTGTGCGGCTAAACCTGCTGCGTCCTGTGGATCACCTTTATCTGATTGTCCGGGGCCCGAATCATTAAGCACGGCATTAATATCTTCATCTGAGTTTTTCGTTGTCTCCAGATTTCTCTGCAGTTCGTGTATGTTGTTAAAAACGCGGAACATCATTTTATTCCACACAACAGGCAAGCATTACCGTTAAGTCTATTATCCACCAAAATGCAGATTTGTCACGTGACAATTCTTACGCAAATGAGATTGAGGGAGACGTTAAGTTTGTTTTGATTTATTAATTTACTTACAATAACAATTTAAAATGTATTAACTTTTACGTATTCACTTTTACATTTATTATTAACTGCATTATATGCATTTTTACTTCATAGAAATAAATATAAATAAATATTAATAAAATTATTAAATCGCTATGGGGGAGCCAGGCCCCCCTGGCCCCCCCACAAGCTGCGCCCATGGAAAGGGCCTTAACAATGTCAGTGACAATCAAATTAAACGCACTAAAAAGAAGTTCTGAGAATTCTGATTTCATTTAAAGAATATCACTAGTATGCAAAAGCACAACCTATTTCAAGGAGAAAATAATTTACATACTGAAACTAAAAGTGGTGTTCAATGCAAGGAAGGACAAAACAAACAAGACAAACCACAGACACAACCTAAAAAGGGCTGTTTTCTTCTGGCAAGTTCACAAATGCTGTTAAAGGAAAAAGCTAATATGGAAATTCGGTTATGGATATAATGTGGCTCAAATAGAGTGGGGGAACTATGATGTCAGAATTTTCAATTAATGAGTAAAATAAAGTCAGTGGTAAACATAACTTGACGATACTTTTACGTTTTGTTCTACAACGTAAATTACACACATCCATACTGAAAAATACTGAGAAGTCCTTTTATTGATGCTGTATGTTACTGTATCTCACAGGAGTAATAAGAGGAAAGAGTTAAGCTTTTTTATTGACTAGTTTCACAGTGTATAGCATGAGCTTTGGCTCTAAGAGCATCATATCTTAACATAAAACGCCATTGTTTTGTCAATAATCAAGCATATACATACCATACTGTAATATAGGCTAGTCTGCCTGAACATTTCATCTAATGTCCTTTGTCTCCTCTAGAGTCCTCACTGGACAGCAGTATAACAGAAAGACAGTGTTTTTATGGTGAGATGACGGCTCTATGTGTGGCCAAAGGTCATTATGCCAAAACACAAACATGATGTTAGCCATATCAGGAGATACAAACACCAGAGACTAAAAACAGCTCCACAGCATTAAAGGGGTCATATGATGCTGCTAAAAAGAACATTATTTTGTGTATTTGGTGTAATGAAATGTGTTTATGCGGTTTAAAGTTAAAAAAACATTATTTTCCACATGCTGTACATTATTGTTTCTCCTCTATGCCCCCTCTTTTTGAAACTCGTCGATTTTTACAAAGCTCATCGGTCTGACAAAGCGAGGTGTGCTGTGGCATAAACATCTAGCAATGGATTTCAATAAGAAATCTGTAAAACTGAACTCTGTTTGAAACACTGTATGAATAGATATGCA